TTTCTTTTGATTTTTGAAATCATCCTAGGAAATCAACCAGATGAAGCGTCAGTTGTCCCAGGTCCAAGCACTGCCTGTTGAAAATGCTGAAAGTTCACCTGCTGAAACAGTACCATCAAGCAATGGCAAACATTCTTTAAAAAAATAGCATTGTAATCATTTGAAAGAAGGCTTCAGAAAGAGGTCACAGTTTTATGTTTAACACACATGTACATGTATTTTGGTTAATATACCCATTTCAATTGAAATGTAAATTTGAAGTGAATTGTCGCGCGTGCGGCCGATAGTGTCTCTTGGTCTAGGTAGAGGGCGTTCTTCCGCAAGGGCTGCGACAATAAATTTATTTGAATCCTGAGATTCGTTCGGTTGAAATATACAACCAGGTAGCTGTACTTAAATACGGCGAAGGAAGGTGACGATTGAACCGCAAATCTTGTTGTGAACCTTCAACTTCTTTATTTAACAACTAAATACGTTCGATATTTAATCAATAATACTACAACACTGCGGGTTCTCCGAAATTACTCCGCCGCGTCATAGACCTTAACTTCAATTAGAATTAGCACCCACTGGATTTACTCCGGTAGATGTCACTATCTGCTACCTCTATGCCTGTAATCATTCAGCTGAAATTACTCCGGTAGATTTTCTCTGACTGCAACTACTACGCCAGTAATCAGCCCAGCTGAAATAACTCCGGTAGATTTCCTCTAACTGCAACTACTACGCCAGTAAGCAGCCCTGCTGAAATTACTCCAGTAGATTTACTATTACTGCAACTACTACTCCGTCAGCTCACTTCTGGGTCACTGCCGACACCCTTTTGGTATACGGTAGCCTACTCTGCCAGGTACAACTGCGTCTAACTTAATTTAGCGTGACTTCCCGGAGTCACCGGAGCGTTGAGTTTAGAAGTTGCCGCCTTGACCCCTATAACGATTGATCCGACTTAACTTGCGGCAACTCATTACTTTACTTTAATTATTCAACAAAAGAAGCGACACAAATAAATATGTTTAAACAATTTATTAAAATACAATGCAACCGGAGTTTCTTATGATCGGTCTTAAAAGTTAATACAGACAACAACGAATAAATAATAAGTACTGGTTGTATGGAATCAGTTGTAGTCTATGAATCAATAAACAAAGGGCATTATATGGATCAGTGGGAATAAACTACAAAAATGCACTTGGGAGACTTCAATTTAGCTCACATAAAGTAGAGGAAAGGGTTCTTACCTATAACGATTGATGCGACTTAACTTGCGGCAACTGATTGAGGGCGGCACGCACAGCATTTTTATACTTCCCGCTGTGCGCGTAAAAGAATTATTTAATTGGTTCGTAAGTTATGTACACAAAGCAACCAAGAGATGGCGTCCTAACGCAGCTCTGTACGCAAGTAATTTGTATTAAAATTACGGAGTTAAAATACGCTTTATCATTATTTAGAGCAGCCAAAATTATCTATGCAAGTTATAATTATTTAGCATCCCAGATATAGACAGAATTAGCTCAGACGTTGAAGGGTATAAGTAGTAGTATTAAATAATAAATAACGTGGTTTGGAACGATGAATGGATGACTAGCTGCGTGCGCGTGAAGATCGAGTTTACTGTAATGAGCGCATAAAATCCTCGTCTAGTTTCCCGCTTATCAATCATTATATATTTACAGGTAAGTTGAGTTATACTAAAAGGAATCAGCGAAATAAGAAAAGACTTAAGGAATAAGTTAAGTGAGACTGACGTCAAACCACCTCACGTCACACTGCCGCCGCCCAAAACCAACGCGGTCCCCAGCGTAGAAGTCTGACGAAACGTCTCACTTAACTAACACAGGCCTAACATACATACTATTACTGTCAATAACCGTCAAACTTTGCTAAGAAACTGAATCAACACATTTTTTTACAAAACTTTACAATAAACTACTTAAAATTCTCCTTAGTCTCAAAGCTCCTTAAACAATGATGCACTTCCAAAAATGAATAAAAGAATGAATGTGAATTAATAAACAATCAATCAATATCTACACACAACTATAATTTCAACTTTCTGCTCTCTTTAATAATCAGAATCATTGGTAAGAAAGTAGACACGTTCCCAGGTCTCCTTCTTCAGCTTCTTTCCTCCTTCGTACGAGTAAACCCTCTGCTTTTCCTGTATTCTTACGACTTTCCCTTGTCGGATTTCTCTTACTTCTGTTGCACTGAGACATCTGGATTTGCTGGGGGCTTGTTGATGGGAGGTCTGGTCCGGTGATGATGATGATGATGATGATGACGCTGTGGTGGATGAGGATGCTGCCGATGAGGAACTTGTAGATGAGCTGTTTGATGATGTAGAATAGCTTGACGGCGTTGGGCTTGGAGCAGCTGTCCTTGATATTTGCTTGCCGATTCCGAATCCCGTGTTCTGAACTTCCCGGAGAAAGTCAGTTGCGCTTTCATCGAGAAGTGATATGGAGGCAGCGTAGGCCACCGTTTCTTCCTCCGCCGCCCGCTCGATCTCAGCATCTATCAATTGGTCTATTTCCCCAGTGCCTGCATCCAACACCTCCTCTTCCTTCTCCTTTCCTTCTGCATCTCCCCCATCTGCCTCTTTCAACTCCCCGGTCACTGCATGCTCCTCTATCTTTTCATCTCTGCTGCCGCTTACCTCCCTTGTCTCCCTCGGTTCCTCCCTCCTCTCCTGTCCTCCCGTTTCACTCCCATCCTTCTGCTTCTGGCATTCCTCCTCTCTTTTCCTTTCACTTATGCTCGTTGTCTGCTCCTCCTCATTCCTCTTTCTCTTGTAGTTTCCATTGTCCCCCATCTGCACCCTTTGACTCTTCCCCTCTGGCTTCCTGTTCTTATCCACTTTCCTTCCATCTGCATGGCTGGGCCTTCCTCGACACCTCTCATTTGTCCTCTCCTTCACACTCCTTTCCTCCCTTTCCTCTCCTCGTCTCCTCTTCTGTGCTCTACCTTTCCTCTTCTGCAGCTCTTTCTCCTCGCCCCTGTAGTAAAGGTGCACCCGATTCGTGTGTTTTTGTAGGTCTTCAAACCTTACGAAGGCGGCCGGGCACTGTGGACACCTGTGTCTCTCTCTCCTTCTGATGTGTTGCCTCATGTCGCTGCAAATTCCATCTCCGCCAGAACGTCTGGTCATGTTTATTTTCTTAATGCTGGTGCATGCTTTTTTTCTTAAGGGCTTTCTTTTGGATTTCATCACCAAGGTCTGGGCTCCTACCAACGACTGTCTGAGAGCAGTGAAGCATGACCTAGACACTGAAAACTGCATAACCGCTTGCAGGGCACTTGGGCTAATCGGGAAATATCTGACAGGTCCGTGGATGAGGTTAATCGAGAGTGATGTTGGAATTTTGGAGTTAAACCAATACTACTGTGAAGCTGTGGAAACACTGAAAGGGTGGTCTGATGATGCCAGCGCTGTTGTCAAAGGATGTGCCCCTCCTGTATTTGGAGATATATCTATGATCAAAGATGATGTTTTCACAGCACTAACCAAACCATCACGCTCGGATAAGGCTACCTCTCAACTGCTTCAGAGACTTTTCAAGAACATTTTGTGAGGACTGTAACCGGCAGCTCGCAGAACAACTTCCAGGCGGCAAGTACAGAAGACAGACAACACCAAAAGCAAGTTGACCTACTACGTAAGCAACAGCTGGCAGACAAACGAAATGATTTGTTATGAAAAGATGACGATCTAAGAGCATCAAGAGAGACTTTGCTAGAAGACATAACCAAACATGGGTGACTATGGAAATCTGAAAAGGACATGAATCAACATTTGAAAGACAAGTCCAGAACACAGCAGGTGATTGCTGTTAAGTTACAGCTAAATGTACGCAAAAAAATTCTTCAGCAGAAAGCTGGACCAGAACTGTTTGCTTTTTCCGCTAACAAACGGACGCATTCGCTGGAAACACTCCAAGCAAATTTGTTAAAACTGATCCAGGCGTCCAGTTCATCTGACTCCACACACATAGAACAAGTTCTTGGAAACCCATCATCACTGATTGGAAGAACTATCACTCACATGTGGAAAGAAGAAAAAGAAGAGGTTTGGTGGGAAGGGGTTATTGCTTCAAGGGTGCAAGGCACTGATGAGTTTTTGATAGAGTACCAGGAAACACATGGAGAAGACAGTTGGCGAATGTTTATTTAGAATTATCAGAAATCATTGCTGATATAAGAGGTGGAGATCTGAAATTTACTTGAAGACTTAAGGTAGGTAGAATTTTATTTACAAAAATAATACTAGAGAAATAACCAAGCCCATTTGTATCCAAACTTAATACTTGATTTGTATTGTAAAACAATAAAATCAAAGAAAATCCTGCTGAAAATGTAAGTTGTAAGCCGTTCAAGGTATGTTTTGTAATTTAAAGTGTGTCGGAAGTTGCTTTAACTTTTTAACAAAACTAAAATGTTAACCTTTTTGCCTCTTAATCATCTTTTCAGCTCTCACCTTTGTTATGACTCAAGACTCTGTACTGATGATGTGACACTTTGTTTACATGTGTGCTTTGTTTACATGTGCAGCCGGCCTGGTGGGGACCACCGTTTTGTAGCCTCATGAAAAAGTACACAATGTGTGACATCGTCAGTACAGAGGCTTATTGTTATGTGTTATGCTCAATTGTAAGAGTATTAATATTTTACCCCTGACCTTTGACCTCTGCAGACTGACTCCAAACCTCGACCTTGACCTGACCTTTGGACTATCTGACTTTTGTATTGTCATCACTGGACGTTACTATTAAATACAAGTTATACAACCATCATTTGTAACTTCACCGTGACCTTTGACCCGTGACCTTTGTTGACCTTCGGCTTACAAAGCAGATTAGACTGACGCTACCGTCCACACCAGAGACGGCACGCTGCTGAAGATCGTGTCCGATTTCAAATATCTTGGAGCGTATGTCGACTCAAGCGGAAAAGACATCAAGACCAGACGAGGATTGGCGTGGTCAGCACTTCACAGCATGAAAAAGGTATGGACGTCAGCCATCAGTACAAAGCTCAAAAGATCGTTCTTCATCTCCACGATTGAGTCCGTCCTACTCTATGGTGCAGAGACGTGGACCCTCACAACCAAGGAGGAGAAGTCTCTGGATGGATGCTACACTCGCATGCTACGTATAGCCCTCAACGTATCGTGGCAGGATCGTATGAGGAATGATGACCTCTACAACGGCATGCAGAGAGTGACTCACAAGATCAGACAGCGTCGTCTTAATCTTGCTGGCCACTGCGTCCGCCACCCTGAGCTTGCTGCCCACCCAACCATACTGTGGGAGCCCACCCAGGGCACTGCCTCAAGAGGGAGAAGAAGTCTGACCTTTGTGGACCAGCTCAAGAGGGACACTGATCTCACATCTGCAGGGGAGCTGCGCACCTGCATGACAGATCGAGACAGCTGGAGGAAGAGGACTCAGGGACTGGCTCGTGATGTCGTCACAACCCAGGCGACCCCGACATGATGATGATGAAAAAGCAGACCACATATGAAAACTGTTATTAAACATGGAGAAGTAGCCATGTACATAATGATGCCTTGTAAAAAAAACTATGCACATGTACTACAGTATACATAGTTATGCATTGGTTAATTAGCATTGCAATTTTGTCATATGCAGACGCCTGTAATTAAGTGTTTATATAAGGTGACGACATGCTCATGTTAAAATCATTGTATCGCAGCAACCTGACACCCCACAGAATGCACATTTGCATTAAAATTTAGCTATTGACTTGCTCTTTCAAACCACATAAATCACTAATCTAATAAATGTATCTGAAATGTTTTTTTACATATGCCTGCCCTGATGAATTCAAAAGACAGTCACAAACGTTAAGCGTTAGGGCAGGCCAAGTGTAACAAACAACACAATCTGTCACAGAGCTAGCCTAACAACAGTAGCACTAAGCACTAGAAGTGACTAATATACATGTATTGATGTACATGTACATGACGTCTAGCTTACAGTATACACCCATTGCTGTTACACTGTGCAGTGTGTGTGGCATAACGTATACGTAGGCATACGGTAGCCCTACATAGTACATATTGTACAGTATGCTAGGCTAGACCTACGTGTAGCCGGTAGGAAGTGTGAGCCGAGTTACTTAGGAAGTACAAGTGCGATGAGCCAACAAATTCTTGGTAAATATGACCTACGAAAGCCAAGAATTTATTTTTTATGGTTTCGAAAGTGACCTCGAAATATATAAAAACAACATGATCATGCTCAAACCTGTTTAAAATAGGTGTGAGTGAAGAAAATTGGAACACTTTTTGTAGGCTTCACGTAAGTAGACTCAGCGCTGTTGGTCTGCAGACGATCCGATCACTCGCGCGGCACGCGCACATGTATAACACTCAATGTGTTTATGCGTTTAACAATACTGTAATTGTAAACGCGTCATGTGTTCACTGGTTTTACAGTGTAGGGAGGAATTTCTGGGGTTTACGCCCCTAAAGCGATGGACGCCGAGGCCATAGCTGATGCCATCATAGAGACTAGTGTCAAGTTCGGTCTGAAGACGGAAAACCTCATAGGGCAGGGATACGATGGCTGCTCAACCATGGCTGGGAAAGACAACGGCGTGCAGACGCGGATAAAGTCCATACCTCCGAAGGCTGCCTTTGTACACTGCTCATCACACCGATTGAATCTCGTGGTGACCGATCTCAATTCAGTCCCAGACGTCAGGAATGCCATCGGAACTGTCAAAGCCGTCATAAAATTCTTCTGCGACAGTCCGAAGAGAAGGAAGCAGGTGCCTAACCTTCAACTCCTCTGTGAGACAAGGTGGACAGCCAAGTACAAGAGTATCCGAATCTTCGCCGAAAATTTCGTTGCCATAGTGAAGGCGTTGGAGAATCTCTCGAAAAACGAATTGGAAACCACGCGCCAGACAGCGCATCAGTTGTTCTGTGCCTCAACAACGGCAAATTTCCTGGTGACACTGAGGATCATAGCAAGATATTCAGCGTTGCTTGAACCCATCACCCAATCCCTCAAGGCGGTAAATTTGGACTTGCTTGGAGTGCAGGAGCATATCCAGAAACTGCTAAATGTTTTGCGTTCCCATCGCAGTGAGTCTGAGCAAGTATTCACGCAGGACATAATGCCCGTTGTCAAACAAACTGCAGAAGAACTGTCTATCGACCTGTCTTTGCCGAGGCGATGTGGCCGGCAGATGTTTCGGTCAAACCCCGACTCAAATTCGTTCGAGGATTACTTTCGCAAGTCGGTCTTCATCCCCTACCTTGACTCCATACTCCAAAGCCTACAAATCCGATTCGGGGAGGACAACAAACCGCACTTCAGCTTATTCGCTCTCCATCCAGCTCAATTGTCCAAGAATGACCGTACGGAGATAATCAACATCGCTAGTAAGATCAATTCGATTTACGAGATTGACAATTTAGAATCCGAGGTACTGACATAGTATGATCTTTGCCGTGAAGGCGGAAAGGACTACCAAAATCAAGACATGCTATCCACCCTTGACAAGGCTGATGTGAAATATCTGCCAGCTGTCCGCAAGGCCCTCGTATTTGCAACTACATTGCCTGCGACTAAATGCACCGTGGAACGGTCGTTCAGTTCATTGAGGAGGATGAAGACATGGCTAAGGTCGACAATGGTGAACGACCGCCTCAGCAGCCTCTGCGTTCTCAGCGTTCATCGAGCGAAATTGACTTCGAATGAAGTTGCGCTCATCCAGACGGTCATCAATGACTTTGGAAAAGACCCTCGTCGGTTACAGTTTTGTTCAAATCGAAGTAACAAGAGTAAAATGTTCAACGGCTACCTGCATAGAATTCTGCAGCTTCTTTGAGAAGGTGGTCAGTGTAGAAACTTGCGGGCAACGGAGGGGCCGTGGAATGTAAACAAGACGGGGTTTAGGGACCAGGGGACTTGTTTCACACCTTGCTTAAACAAAAACCCAAATTACTGCGACGGCACAACAATTTAGCTGTGAAGTAAAACAGGTATATACCATTTAACCTTTTGTCATCGCATGTTGTCATTTTGGGAAATATTTGAGTCTGTTTATTGAAGAAACCAAGATTAAACCGAAGAAAACAAACGTTGTCTCTTGTGTCATGTCTGTAATTTTAATGTTTAAGTCGTCATCGAAAGTATTCAAAATTCCTTTAAAAGCTCTAAAAATGCGATGTTGGGCAAAACTATAATAGCCAAATATGGGCATTTGCCCACCCCACCCATGTTGATTGTGCATAGTTACAATTAACAGAAATATGACTTCGCACCTCGTCTTATTTTCTTTTTTCCCCCTCCCTTCTTCTTCTTCTTTTTTTTTTGGTTTTCCGGGAAGGGGGGGGGGCAAGTGCCCCCCTTGGCCTCCCCCCCCCCTCGCAACGCCCATGCAAACTCCTGCGAGAAAACAAAGGAACAAGTGCACAACTGCTACTGTGCAATGGCTAAAACAATACGCAGATAAGCAAGCAGAAATTCAGAAAAGGTGAGATGGACAATTGTAAAAAATACATGAAGATAAAATAAACAGCATTGACAGGCTTCTAAATGTGTTACAGAGAAACGGAAAAACGTAAACATCTCAGTAAACCTCCAAGACCTTTCGCTTTGAATTAAAAATGTTTTGGGGTTGGAGTTAATTTTCACATATGAAGTGTTTGTTGTTTATTAAAGTTATTCATCCACCATTTTTATATAAAGCAACAAGCATGCTTCGGCTACAACTGAAAGAAGCATGAAATGTGCCCATGTAGCCATTTGCATATTTGTATGAAACATACAAATGGTTGTAGTTCTCATTTGCAATCAGTTAACAATGAGTATTGTTATTTTATAAAAGGCAGACTTGTTTTCCAGTCACCAAATATCGAGTCTGAGTCACTTCTCCCGATTCCAAGGCCCGAGTCATGCAGGTCGAGTCCAAGTCTGCAAGGTTTAGTCCGAGTCATTTGTCATAGTTGTGAACAGAGTCTGAGTCATGGAAAATGACGCTCAATTTGAATGAGTGCGAGTCGCAAGTCATACAAGTCTGATAATAATTTGTTTATTCCATATCTGTTTGTAATTCCATATCTGTTTTAAATATTCATGTTTCAAACTGCTCCTCCCTCCCCGCCGCGCCAGAGAATATTATACGAATTAATTAGGCGCCATTGTATGTACAGTACAAGTACCGTGAGGTAGTCATGCCCGCACGTATGTTTACGCATACGTCGTACAAGAACATTATACGTGTACATGTGATATTATACGCACGTATATAAGTGCATCGATCACATCATGGAGGCAGCTGCCATTGCCCACGCCGAAGCGGTTTTGGGCATTGCAAGTGGCTTTAAGCCTAAGCAATTAGAAGCGGTCAAATCATTCCTAGGAGGAGAATATTTTTGTCTGTCTACCAACTGGGTCTGGCAAATCGCTCGTCTAACAAGCTGCTCCATTTTGCAGCAACATCCAACCTCATCGATAAGTTTAGACTCGGCTAGGCAGCTAGGCCTAGCCTAGTACTTGTCATGGTTGTTCACGTACACGGTTCATCATCATTATACTCCCATGGCATAAATGTTGGACTACCACCGTACTAAATATAGGCCACACTTGGAACATATTTTTATTTTCAGAGTTTGATTCAGAGTTTACTTTAGCGATAGAAAATAAGTTCGGAATGCGTCCATTTTTTGTGTTTGATCCCAAGGTTCGTTTGCACATTCGTATCAATTCCAAAACGAAATAACATTCAAATTTAACGTCTGAAAAATGCCGAACTTCTTTTCTATCGCCAAAATTATATAAAATGAAGAGGATGAGTGTGCACTTACATGTAGGCCTGGTCCTAGGCCTACGTAATTTCCCAGTTCTGGGCCTACCCGTACTCGTCATTTGGATGTCAGTCATTGAACGTAGTCAAACCTGAAACCCTGGCTAACTTGGTTTTAGCCTAATTTTATTTTTAGTCGCACATATCGTGCGTTGTAGATAGTGGCTATTGTTATTGCAGCCGCAATACAACTTTCAACTGCTATCGTTACGGAACTATATCCGGTTCCCTGACGTAGGCCTTCTATTTAACGCCATGGTCATGCTGGAAGGGCAAATGTAAATCTTATGTAGGATGATTTTTTTTACAATGCCGTAGTATTTGAAAATTACGACTATGTTTTAAATTACAATGAATAACGTCATTACATAGTGTATGCATAACGTCATTACATAGGTCAAGGCCACTGAGGCATGATGTGAACTTACGTACGCAATGTTGTTGTCAGTCATGGCATACTTGCATTCTCGGCGACTGTTTTGTAGAACTAGTTGAGTAATATACTCTAGCAATCGGTAGTCTTTAAAGGAATGTACAAATACACTGACTTGCAAACATCAAAAACAAAAATTACGAAGTGAATGACAGTCTAAAACACATGAGTATCCATCGGAATCCCCGTACTTTTCCAGCATATTCTTGGTTTATCATTTTTCGAGGGTGGGCAGCTAGGGACATTTACCCTGCATTAAATTAACAGCAATAGGCCGATGACTTTATGCCTCTTTTTTTCCTTTTATTCCTCTTTTTTTGGGGGTGGGGTTTGCTTTTCACGGGAGATGGGAGTGCCCCCTAGGCCCCCCCCCCTTGCGACGACCATGGTAAAGGATCCTTTCATTTGAAATCGTGGTACTATTGTGCTATAATTTTCAAGAACAGTTGTATTTTTGTATCAATTTCAAACGCTAAAATGGCTAAAACACATTACAAAATGACCTATTTTCACATATGCATACCGATACGTTACCATTTCATTTTAATTTGTTTGGTATTCAATTATTTAATCTTCTTTGACAGGAAAAATCGATTGCCGTTGTGATTTCCCCTTTGGTCGCTCTGATGTGCGACCAAGTGCGATCATTAAATGACAATGGCATCCATGCTGGTTACGTGGGAGACCTAATGAGACAGAATTCTGATAAAGCAAAACTGTTTGCCAGCCCGGAGACTCTTCTAGGCCCACTCGGCAGAGAACTCCTCATGAGTGAAACATATCAGGAAAACATATGTGGCCTATTTGTCGATGAGGGACATTGTGTGGCTAAATGGTTAGTACATTAAACATAATTGTATAGATAATGCTTTTTTATTAAAGCACTATTCCATTTCTTCTTATTTTCTTTTTTTCTCTTTACATTTTATTTCTGTTTCTGAATAGCGATCTCAACTCTGGAAAGGTACAAGCCCTCTGAGAATGTTACAGCAGACTTGCTGAGCTCAGATCACTCATCCCCAGTTCTGTGCCACTCATGGTATTGACGGCCATCTGATTCCAACAATATTGAGGTTTCACCAGAGCGTTCAAACATAAGGTACTCTGTCATTACTACATCAGCAAAATCTCAAGAGGACCAGTTTGCATGGCTTATGGAAGAACTGAAACAGTGTCGTCATGAATGCAGGCAAGTAATTTTTTTCTGCCAATCTCATCAAAAGGGATCTCAGTAGCTACTTTCAAGAAAGTGGACGAATTGGACGAGACGGAGAGCAGAGCCATGCAATCATCTTGTTATACCCACATTGCTTCAAAGTCTGCTGAGTAGATCAGAATATGAAAGATTATATGAAGACTACTGAATGCCGGCGCAAATATTTGTTAGAACACTATGGACATTCTCCGACTTCCACTGTGGATAAAACATTTTGCTGTGACATCTGTGCAGCAGAAGATCTAGTCGGTTCAGGATGGGCAGAGAAATGTTTACAGAATATGGCAACTCTGATGGAGCCAAAAGATCCCACCACACACAAAAAATATTCTGAGTAATAATACGCATGAATTCCGAGTATAGTTGACTCACAGATGACACACTTAACAAATGCGTTATTAATTGCTATACTCATTGAAATGCGTAAAGTTACTCAAGTATAATGATGCACCAAATAGGTATTATGTTGGGAATACCCACAATGGCGAGTAAAACGATTTGACTCCAGAACGCCACACCAAATGAGTAATATGGAGAAATACTCACTTGAAATTTACTCACCCGGTGCATCAAAATAATTTGGACTCACTTGGTGAGTAATTAAAAAATGACTCACAGATGAGTAATTAGACCCAGCTATAGTTTAAATGCCATGATGACTCACTCGATGAGTAAATTAAAAGAAAATAGAAAAACGTGTAAACCTGACATCGGAATGACACACAAAATGAGTCATGGTTATTTAACGTCATCCCAGCTTGACACACTTCTGTGTCCATTTATTTTGAATCCTTTTCCAAAAGAAAAATAACCAAATTATTTAGTATCATAACAAAACAATAATACATGCTTGGAGTGTAAAACATATATAAATATATAAATGAAGGAATACAAATATTTTCTTTCCCTTAAAAACAAACAATGTGTTCCTGAACTTTTTGAATAATAAAAACATAAAATATTAACTAGTTCTCAATACAAAAAGTAAAACTGTTTCTAAGTGGGAGACTTTCTCGGTCAGGTTTTTATCCCCCAAATTGATTCATAATAAGCAAATTAACCAACAATTAACTGAGTGTTGCTGACAAAGTGAGTTCAGTTTTTCTTTGAAGTTTGAGACTTTTCTCAGACTTAGAAATAAATCATGCTGTGTTCCTGACACTCTTTGAATAATACAACCAAATATTATTACATTTGTTTTACACAAAGTACAATTGTTCCCATTGTTTTGTTTTGTTTTTTTTTTTTTTTTTGGGGGGGGGCCTTTGTTTTTGGGCCTTTATCGTTTAGGTTTTTATCCCCCAGAAATGATTAATCTTAAGCAGATTAACCAACAAATAACTGAGTGTTGCTGACAAAGTGAGTTCAGTTTTTCTTTGAAGTTTGAGACTTTTCTCAGACTTAGAAAAAAATCATGGTGTTCTCCTGACACTCTTTGAATAATACAAACAAATATATTAAATTTTTCTTACGAAAAGAACAATTGTTCCCATTGTGTTTTTTTTTTTGGGGGGGGCCTTGTTTTTGGGCCTTCATCGTTTAGGTTTTTATCCCCCAGAAATGATTAATCTTAAGCAGATTAACCAACAAATAACCGAGTGTTGCTGACAAAATGAGTTCAGTTTTTCTTTGAAGTTTGAGACTTTTCTCAGACTTAGAAAAAAATCAAGGTGTGCTCCTGACACTCTTTGAATAATACAAACAAATATTATTACATTTTTCTTACACAAAGTACAATTCTTCCCATTGTTTTCTTTGGGGGGGGGGGCCTTTGTTTTAGGGCCTTTATCGTTTAGGTTTTTATCCCCCAGAAATGATCAATCATAAGCAGATTAACCAACAAATAATAAAATAGAGTTGCTGACAAAGAGTAGCAGCAGGCAAATCTACAATTAATACGACCTTTGTATGAATCCTGTGGATATCCCCCTCCATGTTTAGTGTTCAAAGTTGTTGACTTACTATTAATGAAAGTACATGTACTCTCTTCTTCTTTTCCCATAAACTATCTGAGAAACTAAAAAAAACACCAAAATAAAGACAATGAAACTGAAATTAAATATAAAAATTAAAACAAAAAATGAGCAGCTGATATGGTTTGTTATGAGGGTCAATTTAATTACTCATCACCCTTTCTGAGGAGATTTATGACTCTACTCACAGGTTTTGGGGGTTTAGCCCCTTGAGTCATCTTCAACACATTCAACTGCAGGAATGTTAGGGTGTTTCTAATACCTTTTGGGTATGCCATATCAAAGATGAAGTATGTGGCCAGCAATGTCAACAGACCATCGATGAGGCCTGTAACCTCGAATAGCTCCTGTTGCTCTGCATACACAGCATAGCTGTCCTCCATGGACAAGAGGTCCTTCTGTTGCCCAGAGTATTGTAGGTGTGGCTGAACATGAACAGCAGACTCATCCTATAAAAGAAATGGAAAGGAAAAAAAAGAGTTCTCTCAACCTAAACATCATGATTCTATTTTCCTCATAATAATAATGCAATTTAAATTAAAGCACACGTATCCACCAAAACTGCTGCTCAAGGCGCTACGTCATTATTACCCCTTTTCATTGGGCCAATGAAGCATTCATAAAAACATCTTAGCTCCCTGAGGAGAATACAGCTTGATGCATCTCTGCCCTGACAGGTACCCATTTATACACCTGGTTGAAGAGGCATTGTGTGACAAAAAGTGTCTTGCCCAAGGGCACATGCACCATGTTCCCAGGCTGGACTCGAACCCACAACCTGCAGCTTTACCCGCAGACCACAAATTCAATGCCCTTTAACCAATAGGCCACAGCACTCCACATTAAAATTAACCATCATTAACAACAATTATATCAATTTCCTGGTGCATTTGAAAGACAAAAACATTTCAAAGCAAAATTTTAAGGGATGCTTTGAAACTAGTCCTACATTTTACATTAGTCTTACTGATCACTTATGTGCACACACACACACACCTAATATTTTAAGGGTAAGTAAACAAACAAGAGAAACCCTACCTTTTGGTCAGTGATGAGATGAGTGCGGTTTTCGCCAACAAAGAAAGATGGCAGCATCAGAATTGCTCCAGCAGTCTTTAAATCTGCAGGGAAAAACAATTATAATTGGTTTATTAGTTTAATGCACAATTCACAATTTGTACTTCACTTGGATGAACATCAGCTTGATCAGCCACAGTTAAGCACCATGGAGGAATGGACCCCATCACGCCAGGCAACATCAGTTACCACCTGTCAAATGTATTCACGCCTACAACCCGCCCTCCAAAGTTCCATGGCCCAAGACTACAACTGCCTTCTCAATACTGAAAGTAGGTTGTGTGATCTGCACTTGCTTGTCTTGATCAATCAGAAACCCCACTTTTGTCTTAGTGCTTACATGAAACATTAGCATTTGACCTGAAACTACACTCTCGTTGCAGACTGGCAAGTTTAACAACTCGGAACAGAACAACAACATTTTATATACATGCATCAAGTGCAATTTCAACATTCAAGCAAGGCTACACTAGCTGTATGATCAGCATGGTGCAGGAGGAAGACTGTATGGGATCGGAGTGCTTGGGCACGCTGAAATTTGAAAGTTTGTTGAACTGCTCCTGCCATGAATTGTCAAACTGTGATCGAAGTGTATCTAATTAGTTGACTATATACGGACTCCCAACAATCCTTACATTCCTTCTCGGTGTCTGCTTCAGAAGAAAATATCTTTGTCTGGATCAGCCGAAGGAAGCTTTCATCAGCCTTCTTGTAGAACGGGTAGTTCATAATTGCCGACACATATGGTGACATTTTCTTGATGCAGATGTCAGCATTCAAAGACTCTAGTGATGGTATCATTCTGCCCAACTCAAGAAAGATCTGAAATACAATTTGCAAAAAGAAATATAAAAAGGCTACCTCTTTTTAAGCGAGTATGTAGTATATAAATTTGTAACTGTCAGACACATTCTGAATAAAGGGCATAAACAGACTGTTTTGAAGAAGTACTGCAGGTAATCAATTTCTTTATGACAGGAGTGCTAGTGATAGCACTTGCAAAGGGAGTCCTTTTACCACTGAACTGACTGGTTGTAAGCATGCTCAAAGTTGTATGTAGTCAGAGTTGTATACACATAATTAGCAACCAACATCTGCAGAGACCTGTATATCAAAAGCCCAGTTGTGAAACTGATTAATATACTTAATTAATTGACAAAGAATCTACTTTTTGGTTGTGAAGTGGGCCAAAAAACATTGAGCTGTTTACAAAGGATTGCACTGATTGTGTCCTTTAAGGCAAAAATGTGTCACAACTTAATTGAACTGAACGATAACTATCTGGCAATAAACATAGCTTGTTTACTTTTCAATTAGCCAATTTCCTTGAGGAAAGTAAATTCACCAACTTCCTTGGGGAGAGGAGTCTTTTAATTTTACCTGTTTCGGTGTGAAAAGCGCAGGATATTGTGCCTTGATGTCGACCACCAGTGCCTTCTTGAGGATGGCTTGCCTTCTTACTGGAAAGGTTAGATCCATAAGTTTGTCAATTTTGTTCTCATCCCCCTGCCGCTTTTTGTGTTCTTCGCACAGGGCACTTCGTCACCCAAAATAAATTGAAATTGGAAAAGAAGAGATAATAGCATTTTAGTATAATTACATAAAATGTTTTTATAACAGTTTTATAAAACAATTGACTTAATATTATCAAGACCAAGTGGTTACAGCTTAAGCATGCTGCAAACACAAGAGCCATCTTCTTCTTCGCAAAATTCATCCGTGACCAGTGGCCTAAGTACTTGACTCCTGTGAGGGGATCCATTTTACAAAAGATTATGGCGCTTTTGGCTTTGCACCAGATGTCACACCCAGTTTCAGGTGCTATCTCTGGACACAACTGATTGTGCTCACTTTAAGCTGCTGTGAGCTCATTAGTTCGAAATTGAGTGAAGTGCACTTATAATGCAGATTAAGTGGTACAAACTGTCAACTGGCTTCAGCGCGATGAGATAGCATTCAGTGGAAATTGGAAATAAATAAGATGTTCTAAAGACAACATCCACTCAAAAAGTAAAACGTTGAAACATTTGTAACACAATTATACAAAAGATAATAACCTAATGTGTCTCTCCATTGACACTTCGTCCTCTCCTTCTGGAAGCTGCAAGGTGCTTGATTGAGTGCTTGATCGCTGTCGCTTTGGAGCAACCGTTTCAGGACTGGAAAGTTGATCTTGAGTCCTCTTCCTCTTCCTTTCATTTCTGAACTTATCAGAAAGTCGACCTTTCCATATGTCCTTTCAATTGTATGAAAAAGATAATCAACATTTAAGAGGGGTTCAAAGGTGAAATTTCGTTTTATTCTGAAGTTATGTTTCAAAAGATTGATTTTCTTTTATAGCCAGAAACTATGCTTCATGATGATATGGTTTCAAATGGTATGATTAGCTTCCAGTTCAAATTATTTCAATGTTGAAAGCTGCAGATGATATCACATTTGAAACATCTAGTGCTACATATTTTAGCATGGGGATTTTTTAGTTGATTATTTATTGCTGGCCCTCCATTTTCAATGAAGCAGAGCTTAATGTGATTGTTAAAATGATGACATGTTTTCCATATTGGAATTTATAGAACCCTTGTTGTTAGCTTTGCAATGATGTCATGTTTCAAGTTTCGCACTGAGATACATGACACTTTGCACCATTTTAATATACAGTCTTTCTACCAGAATGTTTGATTAGAAATACTCACATGAGGCTTGCAGAGTGGTGTCTTGTCAGCAAGATGTGGGTAGGTTTCAGTGATAGCACGAGCCGCTTCATCGTATTGCCAGGGGTGTGGTGTCCTTCAGAATGGATTAATGAAAAAACATGAAATATTGCAGGTGCTCATTTTTTTATTATAACCCCCTGGAATAAATTTTGGATGAATGCACAGAATTGTATAGATAATCGACAAATTATTTCGAATCAAATGTTGGTTAAACACTATGGTTAATTGACGATATTACTGTAATGTCTGACCCTAATTGATGGAAGTAACACTGGTAAAATATATTATTTCAATCACTAATGTATTTGGAGGCAAGTATTTCCTGCACTCTGGACTTCTGGGACAAGACATTCAAGGCAGGCCCGTGGGGGAGGGCGGGGGAACCCAAAGGTTGGCTTTTTAAAAGGCCAATTTTTTTCAACAGGAAGTGGCAGCAGAAATGGAAATATTGGAAATAATATTTTTTGAGCAAAAGGTGCCCTCAGGAGAAAAGAGGATCAGCCCATGCCCCTTTTCAAATTATTTGCCAGATTTTGGGGTTTCAATTTTACACTTTTTTAGGGCGGGAAGCACTGGACAACTGAGGTATAGTTTTCCTCTCATATGCCCCCTCCCTCACATTCTGGCAACAGGTTTGCAAGGTAATATATGATGACTTGAATTGAATCACTCTCACCAGGTAACTCTCCTCATCTCATCGAAAACAGCTTGTACCAGCTTCTTCTGTTGTCTGATGTCAAGTTGCTTCTTCTCTGCCAAAGCCATCTTCAGGTCTGGGGGGAAGCACTGCCAATGAAGCTTGAATGGTGATGGCCAATTCTGTGCACCAACTGTCACCAGTGACTCACTGTAGGCAAACATGAAAAGCACTATTATAGCAAGTTGTTAATGTTTTGTTGATTTTCCCTGTGGAAAGATTGAGTTAGAGGGATCCATCAGCACAGCTTACACTTACCTCATATTTGGAACTGGAACACTGCAGTTGTCCTGGTCTGGTGATGAGACACAGTCTGAGACAAGCATGTCACTCCCACTGTCAGACAAAATCTGACTCACGGATGAGAAGGATGGGATACTCATTGTGTCAAAATTAGACTCTGAACTGCTTGGTATTATAAGAGGAAACTCACTCTCATAATTGATAACATTTATTTTGGCACTGCTCTCAACATCTTGGGCTCTGGTGTCAATGTACTCCCCCCATTTCTGGCTGTAGACTTGTAAGGTGATTTTGTTTTTCTCAGGAATCTCAAAAACTTCTCTAATTCTAGCTTCTAGTTCAGAGTTGTCTGCAGCTTTAACCACCTTCCTGGACATGCCACATGTTACAAGGTACTCCATTGTGGGAACTGCAGCCAGATAAAACAAAACAAAAAGCAATGCCAAAATTAAAATACTATTGCTCATCATTTGCACACTTTTACATTTCCATGTGGACACGATGTTTTAGAGGAATGTAGTTTATATTTGCAAGACTGTATATTTCAAGGGGATAAAAATCCAAGAGGTCACTGACTTTGACTGGAACATACTTGTTTGTTTCACTGACAACATAAGCATGATGATGCCTACTGAATTTTGATGTGTGCAATTCCATTGCAATGAAGTTTACGGTTCCTGCATGAACAAGAATGATGTCAATTCTGCCAAACTGGCACAAACCACCATCTGTTCCAAGAACAACCGCTGATCCTTTATCATACCTCACACCACTAACAGTGACAGACTCAGCCTGGTTGACAATGTTCACATCAGTATCAATGTTGTCAAAGGGAACAATTTTGCTCACAATGCCCTGTACCTGTGGTTGGAGCAATGGCACAGAAATAGTGGAAAGGCGAGTGAATTCGAGGTTGTCATGTTCCAAGAAATTTACACTTGAGTTGTAGAAGCACTGCAAATATTGATGCCTGGTAGAGAGTGTTTTGCAGATATTTCTCATATTTTTGGTGCGTCTGGTAATTTCCTTGAAGTAGCTATGTTTGGCCTCGAACCTCATTGTCCAGCAATGGATAAGTGGTCCGTACTTTGCCATCATATCTGGGTAATGCTGAAGAAAGTGAAACTTTGGGGTCAAGGAGTCGGCACCAAATAAGTGGATAAATTCTTGAAGGAATTCTGCAATGACAGATTTCAAGAAGGAAATGCTCATTGAAGTTTGAACAGGGGAAGTGGCAATTTCGATTATGTCCACTAGTAAGAGTAACACATTCCACAAAGGTTCTCCATGAGGAATTTTTGCAGCAAACATGACTGGACAGAGTCTGCAAAAGCACCACATCTGACAGGCACTTTGCTTTATGCGAATGTTTGAGCCAGATATTGACAGCGGTGAGGGTTTTGTGGATTTGTCTGAGCCTTTGTATGGAAATGACTCCAAAACTGAGTTAATATCAGTGACATACACCTGGAGACCTGGAAGGATATTTGTCATTACTTTTTTGCATACACCTTCCATTAAATCATGGGCAAGATCTGGGGGGAGTCCTTCCGTGACATGAAAGTATGCCAACTCATTCAGAGGAGATTGAGTTTCATGAACACCATACACTGATGCAAAAGATCTATGAGCAGTGACAAGAGAAACATGACGATCATAAGCGCCAATTGTCCGTTCTTCTGCGGCTGTTGTCAAACACTTTCCACTTTTTAGATCTTGTCTGGTACACATACAAAAACGACAGAATCGTTCCGTTGTAAAGCCCTCAAAAAACCCTCCAATGAAATGACTTCCAAGATTATCAGCCGAGACGAAACTTATGGTCCCCTTGATATTAATTGTGTTGCCATCAACTCTGACTGGGATTCCTTCCTGTTCCAGTTGTTTCAGATCCTCTATAAGTGGTCTGAGCACCTGGCCAAGGTTATTTCTGCTAATGTATTTGGATTCTACAAGTATTGCCAACTGAATAACATACAACTTAGACCTAAACTTAGGATGAATGTTGCCCAACAAGTAGTAAAAGGCAGAAATCTTAACTGTTTTACTTCCTAACGGATTTGTCACCTGAAATTCATCATTATACAGTTGAAGCTGTAGAGCATACTGCTGAGAAGAATACAAAGGATTTTCCTTGAACAAAATACCATCACAGAAGTCGTGGAGGTGACCATCATGTTCATTGGATCTGCCGTTAAGAACTTGGCTTATAATGTCTGGGTGTTCTAGCAGCTTGGACAAGGTTTGTAACACTGGGACATACTGATATGTTTTGGGCGTTCCATTTGAATTATGACCAAGTTCACAAGTTATTGACTCAATCAATCCAACATGTCTCTTCAGATAGGCATGGTGATTTGCATCTGTTAGTAGGGGTTTAAGTGTCTGTAATGATGTATGAAAATCCTCTGGGATCGCACACTTTCCAAATGGTGTATTACCACCTGCACAACTCGACACTATTTCACAAAATTTGGAAACTAAGGTTTCTTGCTGCATTTCCAATAAATTAAATGTCTCTGTATTCAAAAGATTAATGGATTTCTTCGGGAGTTTGTGCAATTCCCTAATCTTAAGAATGTGGAGAGCAAAGGCTTTTTTTAAAGTGGCTCGCTCGTCAGGACCATCATTGGATTCCCCGGTTTCCATGTTATTCTCTTCGAAGTTTTCTTCATTGACATTTTCCGTCGTCTGATCATTTTCTGTAACACTTGTTAGTGAATGTGGGTTGTTAACACTTTCGGCATGATGTCGCCGAAGATGAGTTAAATAGGAGGAAAATACTTTGTATGTTTTTTCACATCCACTGATGCCACATCTTACAGAGAAATGGGGTTCGTTACTATGAACAAGCCTTACATGTCTGAGCAGCTTTTGAAATGTTGGTGCCTCATAAATATGACAAATGCCACAAGTATAGACAGTGCCAACCGATTTAGACATTGTAAAAGTAGACCTGACACAGGAAAGAAGAGTGACATGCACAAGAACTGATGGTGCAATAAACCAAATCTGCAATGAATGAGAATTAAATAAGGCTATGAGAACTAAAAAATAAAGAAAAAAATTGGCATATTCGTTTTATATAGTTTTATGGCAACTTTCATTGCTTAGGCCTATATTCTAGGCCTACGAAATTAGAAATTGATGTAATTTAAACTGATTGACAATTGAAAGTGCAGTTTCCTCTCTGCAAACGCATAAGCCTAATAACAGAACATCATTTTATGGGAAGTGCTAAAATTGGTTGGTGTGGATGTACATTGCATATACTGTAGATTATGTGCACTACACATGGCCACACGTGCGTGTGCCTAAATGTATAAAATCGTGCGACCTTTGACCGCCACACAGTCATTGACCCTGTAGTGATGTGTTATTAAAATGTGACCCACTATGTGTCATTTTACTCATTATGTGACTCCTTATATGACCCATAATGTGTCATTTTACACACTATGCGAGTCCTACATGCTCGAACATAGCCTAGCCTAGGTCAGGCATGCATGCTTTTATTGCTTTGGCATGTGTGATGTCATGTATATGTCAAGATGCAGGCCTAGTACGTGTACTAGTATAGGCCTAATGTAACGTACCGGTAGACCTTCAATAAGCATGATAAGTGGGAGTTGTTTAGGTTTTGTTTTACTTTCAGATGTTAGTGTATAGACCTTACGGAAACCCCTAATTAATGTCAACGAAGGGCCCCGGCCGGCTGGGAGAATTGTCCCGTTACGCCAAGACTCCAAACACTAAACGGAGACCAGTATTATTTATGTTGGATACTCGACGAACATCATGAGTTTCTCCATAGTGTAACACAGTTAGAGTGCAAAGTAGTCATTTGCTTCGAAGATAATAATAGTGTTCTTGATCCGAATCTGAAGCATAATGTTACATGATTAAGCCCTACTGGCTACTACTAGTACTAGCCAACTGTATACTATCAGAACCACTAACCACAAAGACCAACGCAAAAAGTCATGCTCATCATGATCACAGATCATGCATCACGAGATCAAAACAAATTCGTTTCTAAATTCCAGGCCTAATTGAGCATGTTGAACAGTAGCAAAACGTGAACGCTAAATTACGACACACGTTGAAATCTTAACATGGAGAGAGAGAGAGAACTAAATAAACCCTTACCTACGAATGATGGCAGGCGCAGGCTTAGCAAAGCTTGCTCAGTCCGATCCGGCAGTCGGCCGATTGCGATGGTGTCGTACCGGACCCGCGTCAGCTAGCTAGCTATATATCTGTGATCGATGTCTGAAAACTAGTGCATATTGCGCATGCATGCAGCATGCATCGCATCCGCGCCTGCAGGACGACCACGTGACTATACGGCAAAGCACTGTAGTCTCCTTTCAAGGAAACTTCATGCGTGTTAACCTTGCACTTGCACACGCTACCCGAGTCTACACGTTGACTCCTAACATTTTACATCTTTACGTGAGACTATCACAACAAAATTTACGCGGGAATAGTCTTGACGCACTTGCATCGTCAGCCTACGCTAAACCTAGGCGTGAGTTATTTGACAACGCTTAGTGCATAAGTCTGACACATATCTCAGTCAACCTAGTTGGGCCAACCAACGTTAAACCTAGGCGTGAGTCATTTAACAACGTTAGTGCATAAGTCTGACACACTTGGTAGGTAAGGAAAATGTACACACTATGCATGCGCTATCTTACATTGCAAGTGCGTCGGACTTACTATCATAATGCATTCAAGTACTCAGACAGAAAAGTATATCATTGGCATACTCTTCTTGCGTTTTAAGAGGAATTACGCACGATGAGTAAAGTTACACACACTACCAGGTTAGTAGATATTTTACTAAGCAAATGTAGGTTGTTTGATGCACTTGGCAAATAACACTGACGCACTTGACAAATAACACTGACGCACTCGCTGCTTGAACGATACTTCGTTACCACCAAGAAATCAAAATACACACAAGGGCGAGTCAGATAATCAACATATGATGCGTTTTAATCTGATATACACACCTCTTTCTGCGTTTTTAGCTAAAATACACACTTCAAGCCTGCCACCGTTTTTTGTGTGCAGTGTTACCGTTCGGAAGGTGACTGATCTAAATAGGCAGGAAGTCAATCACCAGATAGTTGAATATAGAGACTCTCTGCTCCAAGGAGAGGCCTGTGCATTATATGGAGGTACTGACATGGAAAAGTGGGTTAGCATTGTCACTAATAGATAACATTGTCAGGGACTGTCATACTATAAGGTCCGTGGAAGATCTGAAAGCTAGATTTCCGTTTTTCAACAGAAACCATGCCAGCAAAATATGGGATTTAATTTCCAATATCTTAGGTGACATCTTTCTGACGAGTGAGGATGAGGTACCCGAAAAGAGCGACAGTGATGGGAGCGAGACTGAACTGACGGCAGATAAAAGTAACGAATCATCAGAAGGTTCAGATCTAGATGCAGATGATACTGATTTAATTCATTCAGATTCCAACTCCAGCACCTCTACATCAGACTGTGACTAACATCTTCGTGGGGCCCATGCAATGTATTTTTTAATACCATATTTGAAAATGTAATTTTGTGTCCCATTAAACCCTATTTTAAATTTTCGTTTTATCATTTCCGAGTTTTTTTTTACGCTCATGCAAATGTCCATATCCGTGAGCAGAAGTATGATGTCATTTTAGGCAGAGAGCTATGATAGCTTTTATTATCACCAAACGCTGAGAGAATTTCGGATATATGTTGACAGCACATCGCAAACCAATAAACAATTTTTCGGTTTATTTTATTGACATACGGTTATTCTGATGTGTATAAAGTACAATACTTGAGGCCTTTTCCTGATGCATTCTTTTCCTGATGCCATTTCTGTTACTCTTGGTTCAGCAGGTCACTTATTTGATTCTGGATCTCCTGCTGTGCAGGTGCGAATGCCGCCTCACCCGTTCTTTCACTGACCTAGTATCACCAGTATTTATGTGATGTTCTGATGTTTGACTACGTCCGTGTGACGCGACCGGTATCATGGTCACCTTTGGAAAACACATCCTGGAAGTCTATCAGACATTCCCGGTCATCACCATGGAACTTAGCCTCTACATTGGCTGTGCCTCTCTCATACAAATCTTGCAAAAACAGGGGCAACTTCTTCCTTGTGTTTGCCTTCGCGTTTAATTATTCATGATTATATGAACTGGCCACAACCTGGGAAATCACTCCCACTGTTCTCATCTCACGGGCAACTCTTGTCTCCCTCCCGGGACTGAAGACCTACAGCGGAACAAGATCGACTTCAGTTTCAACTAGAGATCTGGCCAACACTAAGCCTTTCTTGGCTAGGTCACCGCCACCTTCCATCGTTATGGCTGGCCCGAGCAAGTCGGGCATATGAATTTGTTAGGTTAAAACACTTTAAATTCACAGTGCGCATGGATTCCTGTGTGGCGCGCGCGGACACGTCCATTTTCAAAAAGGGATTATTTACAGTGCGCGTATTGCACGCATGTACATGTACGTGTACATGTACGTTATATTTTGATTCGTGCTTTGTTTTTCAACGACGGACAAAATGCAATACATGTCTTTTTGCCAAAGTAAAAGCAATTTTATTTCCATATTCCATTATTAATACAAACCCTTGTCCATCTCTACAAGTTTTAGCTGAATCAATATTTGCAGTAACGCAATAAATCATGTCAATCATGGAACAACTAACTGTGTAACGTTCAATATTTCCAAATTATTTTGGAATGGTGTTCAACTTTTCTAATGTTACACTCTTATCCTCATCCCCTAAAATGTTATGTTAAACATTTCTTAAATCACAAGACAAGGCTTTCATTCTTGCATGTACAAAATATGAAAACATTTTAACACTGAAGAGATTTGCAAAAAATTGTTTAAAAACAAACCTGTTAGCCATTAGTTTTAAAAAAAAATACACCTTCACAAACAGAAGTGAATTATTCATTAGAAGTTGGCAAACATTTTCACATATTTCACACACTGCTGAACATCATATGTGAATTATGTGAACATCCATTTGTGAATTACTATATCGTTTTCAGTGTCTTTAAACAATAACTGAAATAAATGCCAAAATGTAAGTGTTAGGAATTGAGGGGGGAGGAGAGAGAGTAAGGTGACTCCCCGAAATTCGACCCACATGGACTGTTAAGTTTGGTGACTTTTTTTCTGTGGCCGACTTCCACTTTCCATTTCAGTTTTATAGAATTATTTTTATTGAAAGTTCATCTTACATTTACTTTATACATAGCTGGAAATGGTTAACAACATTAAGAGTATGATACCACACTGACGTGAATACGGTCACATAGAGAATGGATATTAAATAGAGAACAAATACCACTCTAACATTAGTGTGGGGAAATGGATTATGAATATACATGTAGTACCTTTAAACTAAGCCCTAAACTGCTGCTTTAAGGCGAATTGTTTACAGCGCGCACATCACCTCGGGTGCGGTAGTCGCCTTCCGCCAAACAGGAACTAGTTCTGGATCATCCTATGTTTGTAACCCTTATCTGATGTATAATTCATCTTTTGGTGATAACCCTATGTGAATTGAGTTAAGACAACAATTATGTTAGAACACTTTTAATAGTTGAAATCAAGGGATAATGCAGATTTACTCACATGGAAATGGCCCATGGATACATAAGTTGTTAAGTAATACGGCCTCTTTCGGCGTCCCTAGAATGGCGTGAGGAAAAGGGCTTACGGTGAGAGACAATTTCATTGAATTTCTGCTTGTATTTAATGGTTTGCCAACACTCCTTGTGTTTGAAGGATAGCATCATATTGAACTGATATCATAGGTGTGGTTTTGGAAGGGTAAAGCTGAGGGGTTAGTTCAGAAAACAGCTGTAATTCTGCGCTCATGTCAGCCGGCCATGCGATCTATTTTTAGCTATCATCAGTGCGTAGCGTGTACATGTACATTTCTATACTTGGGCTCGTGTTGTGTGCGCGTGTCTGTACGTACAATGTACATGAACTTGTAAACAAGGGTTGTCATTTTCACCTAGTCTGTGTGGCCAGTGCGTACGGCTCTATAAATGCTTTACTGTTTTTACGCATCAAACATTGTGTTTTGGGGCATTCGCGCAGCATTTGCATGTAGTTTACTGATTGTTTTATCAATTGAACTGCAAGATTATTCAAGCACTTATTTCATGTATTTGTTTAATTGTAATTTCTGTGTGATTGGATTGTTTCCTTAGACCGCTAGCTCAGAGACATTCCTCCATGATCACATACATGTACATGTAGTACAGCCAGGGTCCTGTTTTACTGAAGGCTCAAGCCTAGTGTTGGGTGAGCATCTCATGCTTATCTTAATTAAATAATTGAACAGAGAGACTTTGGACATTTATTCTGACAAGGTTTATAATTAATTCTTTATTATTTTACAATTGTGTGTGAAATCAAGACTTATAATTAAATAATTTCTTGTAATTTATATGCGTGTAATGAAACAATAAAGTTTATGAATGTCATTTCAGGGGTTTTCTTTTCGTAGTCAACACAATAAAACCGAGACAGCAAAAAACCAAGAGTTGGCGTGTTATATTTTTGGACAAGGCCTACTGCTCCCTGACCCGGGATTCACATCCCACACGGTTGATTCAGCGCAAGCTGACAACACCAAGTTGTCCCCCATCGTGGGATTTACTACATTAGTAACATAATTTATAAACACTCAGCATAGAGCAACCATCAAGAATTTTGTTTTTAACAGGGCCTGCTGAAAATCTGCCTATCCCTGGGGAACAAATTTGAAAAGCACTTTACCTCCAAGATGGCTAGCACGCAAGGACTCTATTACAACTAGTTTGTGGTGACATGGAACAGTTCAGATGTAGGGCTGGTGCAACCATACTTTAAATTGTAACAATGGTCTTAGAGCACAACTGAATATTAAAAAAAAAATCATTGTGGCTTTAGTCACTCACTCTTTTGTACAGGAATCATTATTCTTGAAAACCATTTGCAAATCAGAGCAGTTATGAAGACATTTGACGAAGGACAAGTTACCCACATATCCTCTATGGCCGACAAGTTTTGTGTTCAACTGAGGAGTGTATTCTGTGAGAACGTGTCTCTCATGGAGCCACAGCGAGATGGTGATTTCCTCCACAACTGCAAAGTCTCCAGCAGCGTTACATATTCGGAACCACCAATCCTTTCCCAGCACCTGTCCTACTGAAGGAATTGTTGCTCGATACACCTCCCTGGCGCCGTTGGTTTTCCCACAGAGAAGCATTCACATCCCTCAAGAATTTGTTGAACTTCTGTTTTTGCACTGGCACTTGCACGGTGATGGTGGAGTCCCTCATACGAGCAACATTCAGCTGTTCTTTTACTTGAATCTTTAGTCTGCTTGCAAAACAATCATAGGCATTGCTCAACTCATGTTCATCTGGTTTAAGTACAATATCGGAGGTTGGGCACCACTCATCAAACTCTGCAAACCATCCATCATAATGGACTAAGAATTCTTCAACTCCCTCATCACTTATTCTACTGTCAAGAATGTTTTATGTCCACAGTTTAGAAGCGGGCCAGTGTTCAGTTTTAGACTTAACTGTCCGTGAAGTTTCACCACAATTCAGAAGACGGTAATTCATTCGGCATCTGTTTCGCAAGTCCATATCTCTGCACAATCCATCATGCACTGTAAATAAACAAAAAAGAAATCACACCACGTATTTAATAAGTAACAGGAAAATGTTCACTTCTCAAAACACAATTGCAAATTAATAAATATGCAGTCTTTGAATAGTGATAACTAGAGTGCAATAAAATGACTTTTTTCCTTTGTCAAACATTTTTCATTCATATACCCATGCCAGTGCACACATTCACCAAAAGTTCTGTGTCTACAATACACTGACACAGCCTATTTCAATTTAAAATGAAAAGAAAAGAACATGCCCAAGTTATGCACAGTTTAAGTGCGAACACGCACTCAATAATTCATGACATTGTCCACATTTGTTTTCAACATGCATATTTTGCATATACATGCACATAAACAAATCCTTTAATCCCCAGCAGTATGGTTTAATGCACCTATCAATAAGCTCGTATTCTTTGGAATGGAATATGATTTATATGAATTCATCAAAACTTAACCTTACCTATGGAAAAAAAATCCACCAACTTCATGGAAGGCGTAGTATTTTACTTGTCACTGACTGCATACATTTTTGGTCTGGATGGCTGGTAAGATAAAAGAAAGCAAAAAGAAAGTAAGAACATGTCATGCGTAACATATAAATCAAAAATTTAATTTAGTAAGGAAAAATGACAGGGACTAACATTACTAATTAGCTTGTCTAGCTAATTAGTAATAGCAAGTGTATAGACCAAGCCTGTACGAGGTCTTGTCCTCAATTAGGCCGAGGCCTAGCTAACCTTGGGCTAGGCATACTAAATAATATATTTTAAAATGCTGTGGCTTATTGTTACGGCTGCCGTAACGCAAATTTCAACAGCTGTTACGGAACTCTATGGATCCCTGACGTAATAGTATTCAACATGACAAGGTTTGGCTGTTGTTGGCACCAGACTATCAATGTGATCAACCATATGGTTCTCGGACTTTATTTCCCTTTTTATAAAAAAAATCCTGCAAATCAGCACTGATTCTAAAGAAGAAAATAAAATCTACTTATAAATAACAAGAAAAAAAACATTTTAGTAAAACCTAAAACTTAGTTAACAAATTGAGTAGCGCGGCAGGATTTTGAACCCAGCTTTAGTCCCTCATTTCATGACATTGAGCTTAAGTGCGAAGCGTTCTTGTTGAACTGGCAGTTGTGTTCTGAAATGCGATCGCATTAAAATGCCGTAATTAAAGGTCTTGAACATGTACAGCCCCTATTTCATATTTGAAAATGGTGCTACGGCTGTCGTAACATTATAGCCATTATCCTAATTAATACGATGCTATATGCAATAATTGATCGAGGCAGGCTTAGCCTAGGCTAGCCTTTATAGTCTTAGGCTATAAACATGTAAAATACAATGCCCATTTCTTAATAAATTAATCATTGAAGTAGGCCTATAGCATGGAAGTTTTCAAAATGCCCTGCTCTGTTACTCTAGCCTCAAGCCTGCCCTTTTGACATGGCAACGGACGACACCCTTTTCATAATGCTACAGCCTACCCGCCAGTGCACTACTGCTACACGCAAACGTTTGAACACACAACCACAGTGAAATTCTATGCTTTTTACATCATCGTATCATCTTTTCCAGTCCTAAATGTGAGCAAAAGTGCCCACCCTGAAAATTGGGATGAGTTACTCTTTCGTTTGGTGTTACTGGTTATACACATAAACGCTATTTAAGGGTATAACTTACCGACAGAAAGGCCGAAAATAGCTTAGCTGTCATGCACTCTTCCTGCGACATGCCCACAAACAGTTTGTACAACGTCCTATGGGATTTGCGAGAAGGTCGACTATTGGGTAAACTTTTTGATGTCTAAATTGACGGAGGGAAATTTCATCCAATCAAAATGGCTTTGTTATCAGTAAAATGCTTGTGACCTGAATTTTGTTTTTAGCGAAACAACTTTTCGGTAGCTTAGGGGGTTTCTTAGTACAATTTGTAGAAGACTGCCAAGCTGCCAAATATTTAGCAAGTTTTCAGCTTTCACACACAAAAACACATGCTGGACCGGAAAATGATTCTGAAAATGATGGAGGTATTTTATCTTTATTCTTTCCAAAAACGATATGACTTGGAAGAGTGAAAGATGAACTTTTTCTTTTTGCAAGCAACTAAATTATACAGTGAGCGAGTATTGGATTATGACGAAAGAAGTCCAGAATGGGTTTTTTTAGGCTGAAAACGACACGTGCTGTGGTCCGCGTCGGCAAATCCCGTTTACTTGACCTCAAAAATTCATATGCCCTTCCGAGCAATTTTCCCGGGTCCACAGCATCATGACCTGATTAGATTACCGTAGTTTTGGACACTACAACGCGTCCTACAAAGGGCTCGCCTGACAAAATGTTGAGCCTCCACTCCCTTGATTGCAAGTCTATGTTTCTACCTGTTGGCACGAGAAAATCCATGCCAAGGATCCACTGTATTTGATTTCGGCGAACACTGCCTTCACTTGGTGCATGGTCCTACCAACTTGCACCTCAACCAAAGTCATGCCTTGCACAGCTAACTGGCTTCCGTCCACCTGTTTTACCTGGACGTCTATGGTCTACAAGACGGGATTTTTTCTCTTTTGGGATATGGTAATGCACCGCATTACTTATTAACGTGTCGGTTGACAATGTGTGAATCCAGAATCGACACCTGGTTGCCCTTACCAACTCATCCAAAAACAAACCATATCGAGGACCACGGCTTGGATCAGGCAGATTAATTACTCGTTGCCTATTTTTATGTTTGGACCTCGCTTTTCCATTTTTGGCTTCACCGAGTCTTTTTTTGGACCCTTTTGTCCACTCCGCCATCCCAGAGTTCCCGTGGGTCCCTGCTTTGGAGTTCCTTTACACTCCCGGGCGAAATGCCCTTTCTCACCAGACGTGAAACACATAAAGGTTCCAGGTTAGGCTTTCCCAGGCCTGTGTGACTTGGGGGACAACACGCACTTGCCTTGCCCGGGCCTTTGCTCTGGTAGGACAATGGCTTGACTAAGTCGGCCACAGATTTCAATGTCTTGACCTGCTCATTGAGACTTTCTTCTAAAGTCCCTAACTCTCTGTTACAGAGTCTATAGACCTAGCAAATTAGGCGGGCTTTCGGTCCAGCAATCAATGCTGTTCGACCTTCTCAAAATTCTCAGTCTCCACGGCAGCCTGGACTGCTTCATCCGAGGTTTTAGGACGGGCTGTATTGATGCCCTCTCTAACTTAGTGGCTGTCAACGGCATCGATGAAATGGTTCTTTGCCAACTTCTCTCGAGCTTCTTCTTGCATTTCAGATTCGCTCTTACGGTTAACTCATTGATTGCCTGCCCTAACTCTAGCTATCCTTTTCGCGCCGGTTTCTGAGCGAGACAATTTTCACTCTATGGAGCTGACCCAAACCTACAATCAAGCAACTTGACCAGTGCATTTTATGTGTGCTTTTGGCCAGAGTCGCACATCCCATTTCAAGCTTGCGGACAACCACTTCGCAGCTTGCGCTTTTCTCCTCATGGCATAACTCAAAATAGCGGAAGTACTCCTTCCAGAGCACTTTCCCACTATACCGGGTCAGGGGTTATGTTTCGCCTACGATCTGGTGGCTTCAAACTTCCCTTCGGACCCAAGTCACCATGGACACGTGCCTCTCGTTTCAGTGGCCAAGGACCAACTGACGAGCCGTCCACTTTTTCAGGGGACTGCTGTTCTTCGACTCGACTGATCAAGTTGCGAAAACTTAGCAGATCGCTGTAAACCAGTGTAGGGTTTACTTTTTCCTTTTCCCGGACGAACGGGTTAGTACTTGTGTAGAGTTAACAGCGGTTGGGACTTATTTGGGCATGACGTCTCTGACAAGTCCGGTTAGGCACTTGCGATCTAGTGGGTGTGTACTCGGGGGGTGTTACTGCTGGCTGATATTAAGATGGGATGACAATGAAGACTGAGACACCAGATGGTATTCACTGAACAGTACACCTTCTGAATTTATTATAAACTCTTCCAGATGCACACAAGAGAATAGCTGATAGCAACAGACAGTTGTTGATGGTGGTGCCTACAGTTCACCGTGTCACTTACTTGCTTGCTTATGCTGTTAATGAAGTAAACAATAAACAACAGTTATAATTCAAACCTGTAACTTCTTATGATTAAAATGGAGACATGTGACCCAGTTAAGTTATAAAATGCCCTCTTGACTGTAATATTAGGAACCCCTATTAAACTGAGGAATATAACCCAGATCGATGGTTCTCTGATTGAATTATCATTTAACCCCTTATAATCCCCCCTGATACTTTAACATGATTAAACACGTGGCAAATCCACCATATCGCCCCCAATACCTGAACCATATAGTGAAGAGTAAAGTAGCCCATCGGTAAAATAAACATGCAATTAAAGTCCCTAAAATACGAGTTTCATGGATCTGTTCTGTTCCCCAAAGTGACTATGATTTGCTATAACTATTACAATAAGTATCTTACCCAGTCAGGCAACGATGGCCCCGTTTAGGACATACAAATATTGAATGATTTTGAGGACGAATTGGGAATTCCTCAACATGGCAGCGGGGAAAGCTGGCGCGAAAGCAGCTGCATGCTGAACAGCGCCCTCTCGCTGGCGACACGAGCGCCCTCTTGCATTGCTGAGCGTAAGTTCCAACACGGCCGCCCTCGAATTTACTAAGGAAATTCGAATTAATACTTACCAACAGGAACTGTTACTAACAGGAACTTTGGACGAATGCCTGAAAAGTTAAACTGGAAGAACAAATACAAAAAACACACTAACTTTACCTTTTGCGGGCTCACCTAGGGTACCAGTCTGAAGGGAACCCTGCACTGTGTGAGCACTATGTTGGCTGCGTTGGGCAGGACTCCGGGTTCATGTTTACCCAATCTGACTAGTCGGGCTACTGGACGCTCATACTCACGACCACCTACCTTAACACGAACAGCCCTGACGCGGTCGTCACTGGATGGGAGTAGTTCAGAAACTTTACCAACTGGCCATTGGGACCTAGTGAGCTGGGGATCAACGATCATTACAACTTCTCCAACTGCAAGATTTCCTACTTCCTGTTGCCACTTTTGGCGTACTTGCATGGCAGGCAGGTAGGAACGAATGAATTGACGCCAAAACTGGTCGGCCAAAATCTGACTGTGACGCCAACTGCGTCGTCCCCTTAAATCAGACTCATCATACAGAACCATTGGTAAGGCAGGGTCCCGCCGCCCCATCAACAACATGTTGGGGGTGACTGGATCGGCATCAGCAATATCTGTGGAGGCATAACCTAATGGTTTGGAGTTCATCATACCTTCGACTTCGACTAAGAGGGTATGTAGTACAGGCTCAAAAACTGTACGGTCTTGCAGCACAGCCCGTAGAGCCCCCTTCACAGAACGAACTTCTCGCTCCCAAGTTCCACCAAAATGGGGAGCGTTAGGAGGGTTAAATCGAAAGCGAACCTTGTACTTGGAGAGTTTCTGCACCATAGCTGGTTCCATCTCCTTCAGAGAATTCTGGATCTCGGAGTCCGCACCCTTAAAGTTGGTGCCACAATCACTAAGCAACTCGTAGGGCACCCCTCTGCGAGAGGCGAAGCGCCGATACGCCATAAGGAATTGATCGGTATCCATGCTGGCCACCAGTTCAAGATGGACAGCCCTAGTGGTCATGCATTTAAATATCAGACCCCAGCGTTTCTCATCACGCCTCCCAACTTTGACAGACATAGGACCAAAACAATCCATCCCAGTTGAAAAGAAAGGTGGCTTGTGTAACCTAAGTCGACACTTGGGAAGATCTGCCATACGAGGGACCTCTGGTTTTTTGCGCCAGCGTTGACACTGAACACAACTGCGGAGTATGCCTTTCACTGCACTCCGCCCACGCAATACCCAATATCTTCGCCTCAGATGGGCGAACACCTGATCAGTCCCGACTTGATGATGGAAATGTTCATCAACCTCCTTGATGAGTAGCTTGGTGACAGGATGGTGGGGATCGAGGACTACTGGGTGTGGTTCCAAGGGTACTGAGTCATCTTTCTGTATATTTCGGAGTCGACCACCTACTCGAATAAGTTTGCTGGAGGTGTCAAGTTCTGGAGCAAGTTGAAGTAAGCGACTGGAACGATGTACCTGCTTGCCAGCAACAAGAGCCACTAGCTCTTGAGGAAAACTTTCCTGCTGGGCACGCTGAAGTAGCTGACACTCTACTTCAGAGATCTGGTCAGGATCGAGTACACCACCCTCCAGGTTTACCTTGGCATAAACCTGCTTTCCTGCTGCATCCACAAGTGCAGTCCAATTATCAAAGGCACACAAGTCCACATCCGCCACTGGACTAACCACAGAATCAGCCGCTGTCAGGCCACAAAACAGAGATTTCTTGATCTCCTTCTCTTCCACTACTGACAATTCATCAGGCACACTCACTGGTGCACGGTCACACTGCCAGGTATCTGGGGGATGCAGTAACCAAGGAGGCCCTTCAGTCCATCGTGAGCCTTTACCAAGCTCAGAAACAGACAGTCCACGGGTGATGTCATCTGCAGGGTTTTCCTTCGTGTTGACATACATCCACTTGTCACCTTCAGTAAGGGTTTGTATTTCTGCAATCCGTGTTCCTACAAAGACCTTGTACCGACAAGAATCTGAATTGATCCAGGTAAGTACAGTTGTAGAGTCAGACCACATAACTGTGTCATCTATGTCAACTGTGAGGGCATCACGCACAGTCTTGGAAAGCTGTGCTCCCACCAAAGCGGCCATAAGTTCGAGGCGTGGTATTGACAGCTGACGTTTGGGGGCCACTCGGCACTTTGCAAGTACAAAACCCAGATGGACATCTCCTCCTTCGTCTGTAGAGCGTAAGTAGCCAACTGCGCCATAGAGTTTCTCAGAGGCATCACAGAACACATGGAGACTCCTTTTTGCACTGCCAGTGTCAACCTGAAACGGAGTGTAGCAACGCGGAAGCCGAACCAAAGGAATATGTTGTAGTTCTGAACACCATTCTTGCCACCTGTTTTGGATATCAACACTAGTCACCTCTTCATCCCAATCGAGTTTGGACATCCATAACTCCTGAACAATCAACTTTGCCCTGGCCGTGAAAGGGGCAATGTCACCAAGGGGTTCAAACTGACTCGCTAGCAACCTGAGCGCAGTTCGCTTGGTGAGCGGTCCAAGCTGAGGAAGTTTGGCTGGGTGATATAACTCATCACTTCTGCAATCCCAGTGAAGTCCTAATGCTGGTTCCGGATCCCCATCCCACTGATCTAGGGAGAGGGACCGAACATGACGATCAGATCGGGCCTCTTGTGGTAAGTGCTCGACTGCTTCTGTATGGCTACTGGCGTACTTTACCATCTGGAAGCCAGCTTCCTGCAGGCACTGGCGTGTACTGTTGACCAGGTTCCTGGCTTGCTCGACAGTATCCCTACTCGCCAGCTGGTTGTCAACATAGGTTTCTTGTTCGATTGTGTCCCGAACAAGAGGGTACTGTTGGTTGAAATCCCTGGCATGCTTTTGCAGAGCAAACGTTGCACAACACGGGCTGCAGGCAGCACCAAATGGCAAGACCACCCATTCAACAACTACCCATTTTTCTGAGGCTTCATCCCACCACAAGAACCTGAATGCCCGTCGTTCAGAAGGGGACAACCTGATCTGATGAAACATGGCAGTTATATCTCCAGAGACTGCCACTCTTCGTTGTCTGAAACGCAGGAGTACTTCCAACAATGATGGACCCAGTGTTGGACCTGCCAACAACACCTCATTCAAATTCTGGCCAGCAAATGTGAAAGAGCAGTTGAAAACCAACCGATGTTTGCCGCTGCTGTAGACGACGTGATATGGTATGTACCACCCCTGCAGTGCATCAGGCGTCAAGTCCTCCACTGGGCCGAGGCATTGAACATGTCCTTGGTCTCTCAACTTCTGCATATATGTCCGACAATATTCGGCCATGGCTGGGTTGGCTATCATCTTCCTCCGGTGGGAGCGTGCCAATGCACGAACAGATTCTGGGGTACCGGATGGAAGTTCTCTCCCTGACTTCTTCAGCAATGGCGTTTGAAGGCGTTGAACCCCATCTACCTTCACACGTTCTGTGTTTTCCTCAAGAATTTTGATTGCAAGTTTGTCCTCCTTGGAGCGGGTTACCTCCTTTGTGTTGACATGTGGCAACTTATCGATGGTCATGAACCGGTCCATCATACGGTGGAGCTGGTGCTCTGGGTCTTGACACGCAGTGAACAAAATTTGCTTGCTCTCAGGAATGGTTCCGGAATACTGCAAACCCTGTCTGCCCTGAACCGTCCAGCCGAAGAGTGTGTTCACTGCTACTGGGGACCTCATCTTGGGCCCAGTGCGTACTTCAGTGGAGAGGGTCAACTCAATGATGTCAGCCCCGATTAACACTGCTGGCTTGACTCGATCCGCAGAGAACAGAGGCAGATTCCTCAGATGTGGCCACTTGGATTGCAACCTGTCAGCTGAAACACTGTAGTCAGTCAACTGAATGTTGTCGGCGGTGAACGCACATGTGATCAGGAACTGCTGGCCGGGATCTCCTCGGGCTGACACTGCAAAGTCAACACATTTGCCTGCCCAGTTGGTGTCTCCCATGACAGTCTCAACTCTTAGAGTTTCTTCCTTCCCTGGAATGTTCAACATTTTTGCAGCCCAAGGGACAATCATGGTTCTCTCTGCACACTCATCAAGTACCCCAAAGGTGTTTAACTCCCCCTCCGGTCCATACAGAGTGAGTGGAACGGTCTTTATTAAGACATCCCGTTCATAGTCAAGACTCAGGGTTTTAGTACCAACCCCTGTGCAGAGCGCAGCACCCTTTGGTTTTGCAGCTGACTTCGTAGCCACATCATGTAGGCTGCTTCGGTGATCACCCTCACACTCCTTGCACCTTTTAGGGAATTGGCAATCTTTTCCATGTTTCTTGCCACACTTGAAGCATCGGTCATTTGCTTTCAGCCACTTCATCTTTTGCTCCAGATTCAACTTGAGGAATTTGTCACACGTCTCCAGATAATGGCCTGATTCACTGACCTGGCAGAACAGACATGTTGCCCTCTTGGCCGCCCAGTCTGCTGACCCATTGCTACCAATCTTAGCTCTATCTGGCTGGGGTGAGTTTGTCTTGGCTACGTATGTCTTCGCAGACGGCGGAGCACCAAATGCAGGTTTTCTTGGTGGTTGTCGGTGACTGTTGCCATATTGTTGCTTTTGGACTGAACCCTTACTTGACTTGACCTTCTGTGACTTCTCCAAAAGAATTAGCCCAACGGGACCACTCTTCCTTTCCAGCCATTCACTGAGATGCTCTACGGTGTACGTCAATCCACGATCTCGATGCCACATCTTCGACAAAAAATCTGTATGCAGCCGTTCTGGGAGTTTACTTGCTAACTCTACAGCATACTTATGGTGCCTGAGCTCCACCTCAAAGCCCAATTTCTTGGACGTCTGAACCATCGTGGCAACCTCATCGGAAAAATCTCGCAAGCCTGCCCAATCACTGTTTGAAAGTTGGGAATACGTTTCCAGCTGGCTCAGCAAACCTTGAACAACCCTTCCTGGTTCTCCAAACACCTTCTGGAATTGCTTCATCGTTGTCGAATAAGCGTCGTCCCCGAGGACAAGATTTCTATCTGCAATCGCCAAGGGACGCCCACCCAGATGACCACGCAAATAAGCGAATTTGGTAGCCTCTGGTAAACCACACTCTGATCTGTTCATGATACTGTCCCAAAGAGACCTGAAGGTGACATATTGTTTCACATTGTGCTCGTCGTTGAACTTGGGAATGTCGAGCTTCGGTAGACTGTCCCTCAGCATACCATACCCATAGGTAAGTGGTGCAGGAACACTTGGAACCGGAGCTGGACTTGATCTGGCTTGGGAAGTGGAGACCTTGCTGGACTCGTGGTCGTTCTTTCTGCCAATGCAATCACAGTCATTTTTAGGTGGGGTGCCAGCGTGACTCGAATCACTCAGGTTGGGATTAGCTGATTTAATACAACCAGACTCATCCTGCTGTGAGTGTTCCGGTGACCTTGGCAACTTGTTACCTGCCGGCAGGGCCGGGTTACGATGATCATTCTCACCTCCTGGCGTCTGGGAATTGGCGGGTGATGAGATGATCCCCAACTTAGCACTCGGTAGGACACTGGGAAGCCGCCCATCTCCAGCAGGCTGTGGAGAGACTGAGGTAACTACAACAGTAGGAGTGAAAGGGACTGACATTGGATTAAGTACCGAAGGCACTGACCTGAAGTTAGTATTCGCTGCCCCTACATCGCCATACAGAAATGCGGAATTCGACGCGCGCTGCACCAGCGTGACGGACGCTGGTGGGCAAGCAAGGGTATAGCTCGCTGGATGCAATCTCGGCATAGCTGTTGAGGAAGTTATCCCAAGGAAATCGGTAACCGTACCCCCCACTTTAGTCACTGAACCATAATTTGATTGAACAGATCCACTGAAACTCATACTTACGGGTTCACCAGATGTTGCTAAAATGGGCTCAATGTTGGGGGTATCATCGCCTACAGCCTCAGAATGGTCACGATCAGAAGCTACACTGTCATTAACCCAGTTCAAAGTTCTGCTCCTACGGTCACTCTCAAGAAGTTCCCTCTGCTGGAGGTCTGTATCCTGTGTCTCGAGTTCCTGAAGGAGCAAATCGGATTCAAGCTGGCTTTCTGCCTTCCTGAGCTCGAAGTCAATTTGACGCATATGCTCTTCATCTTCGAGACTGGCTAACCTTTGGCTTGCTTCACGCTGAATTGCCTCTCGACGAATCCTTGCTCGTTCGTTCTCGGCTGCTCTAGCCAGCACCAGAAGCTTTTGACGAGACTGTTGCTTAGCCAACTGTCGTGCAAGTTCTGATGGGGAACGTGAGGTGACTGACCTTGAACTCCTACCACTACGTGATGGAGATGGTCTTCTGGAATCCATAGGTCGCGCAAGGTGAGAAGCGTCATTATGTAGGTGGCTGACAGAGCTTTGGAGGAGGGGCAGACCAGGCGTCAGCGGCAAGGTACTGATTGCTGCGGAATCACCATCCACGACTGCGGTGGTTCCAAACGGTGCCGTTGAAACGACTGCTTGATCCACGGGGGCACTGGTAGACACCAACGACATGACGATCTATCACAGAGACAGTCAGGTTTTCCAAATAATCCGGTTCGAAGGACCAAATTTTGTAGAGTTAACAGCGGTTGGGACTTATTTGGGCATGACGTCTCTGACAAGTCCGGTTAGGCACTTGCGATCTAGTGGGTGTGTACTCGGGGGGTGTTACTGCTGGCTGATATTAAGATGGGATGACAATGAAGACTGAGACACCAGATGGTATTCACTGAACAGTACACCTTCTGAATTTATTATAAACTCTTCCAGATGCACACAAGAGAATAGCTGATAACAACAGACAGTTGTTGATGGTGGTGCCTACAGTTCACCGTGTCACTTACTTGCTTGCTTATGCTGTTAATGAAGTAAACAATAAACAACAGTTATAATTCAAACCTGTAACTTCTTATGATTAAAATGGAGACATGTGACCCAGTTAAGTTATAAAATGCCCTCTTGACTGTAATATTAGGAACCCCTATTAAACTGAGGAATATAACCCAGATCGATGGTTCTCTGATTGAATTATCATTTAACCCCTTATAATCCCCCCTGATACTTTAACATGATTAAACACGTGACAAATCCACCATATCGCCCCCAATACCTGAACCATATAGTGAAGAGTAAAGTAGCCCATCGGTAAAATAAACATGCAATTAAAGTCCCTAAAATACGAGTTTCATGGATCTGTTCTGTTCCCCAAAGTGACTATGATTTGCTATAACTATTACAATAAGTATCTTACCCAGTCAGGCAACGATGGCCCCGTTTAGGACATACAAATATTGAATGATTTTGAGGACGAATTGGGAATTCCTCAACATGGCAGCGGGGAAAGCTGGCGCGAAAGCAGCTGCATGCTGAACAGCGCCCTCTCGCTGGCGGCACGAGCGCCCTCTCGCATTGCTGAGCGTAAGTTCCAACAACTTGGCTTACCCTATTTCATGCCACCTTGCCCAAAAGGAACAGCGTCAGGTCATTAATAACTTGACTCTGGAGTTCCATCCAAGGTGATTTAGCGTCGACCCTGCTCTAGGTGTTATCCTTGATCCCGAGTTCTTCAGGAGTGTGGTCTCCATAAAGCTCACCTCCCTCGCACGTTTGTGGGCCCACTCAGGCACTAACTTTGCGCCCGACTACCCCGTAGTCTCTTCGGGCAACCACTTCTCAACATATCGGTATCCACCGGATGGAGCATACGCCGGCTCCCACCTGGCGTGCTCAGGTTCCCCGTCTTTTGAAAACCATTCGACTGCACCTGCATGGACACCTTCAACTTCTTTGCAATGAGGTATTTTTTTTACATCGCAGAAATTAAACTTCCATTCGCAATCGCTGCACCTCGGCCTCAGCACTTGAGGTACCGGCTAGACCCTGCAAGCGTTCGCTCACGACTGAACACAACCACAACAATCACACACAACACAAACAACAGACAACAATCAACCGACAACACACCACAGCACAATTAACGATACAAATTAACAATACTAGTCAAACACATTGTGCAATCAAATAATTTAATAGCGAAATCCCTAACAGCCATATGGTTGCGAAGGGCGATGTATAAATGTTACGTAACACTTTATTTTGAATCAAACTACATGTACACAGACATGTCCACATTGGCAGGTGGAATCTTTGAAAATTAATTTCAGTTTGGATGACCGTACTGTATCTATATGCAACTCTCAGGATTTAGTTCCCTTATAATGATCCCAAAATGTGCTAAAAATCGTTGTGATATGTTCATTACTTTTCGTTGACATTGGAAAAAAAGGCCTGGCTACGTGCAATTTTGAAAATTGTTACACTGATGTGCGCAATACATGTCAATCTTTTCAAGCCTCTCGAATAGTAATTAGGTTCCTATCCATTACGGTGTGCAGTAAACAATGGCATAAAAACCTCCTTCGCGAGTTGATACCGAGACTGACGCCATGTCACGCCGAGTGACGCTAATGAATATGCTAATATGCCCTTCATAATGTGCGCCGGGCCGAAATCGGTCAGAATTTCTTCTTTAGTTAGAATTCAACATTTCAACCATACCGAACATATTTCCTGAAAAACAACGTTTAAAAGGCCATGTTTTGGGGGGGTTCACGAATTTCAATGCTGTGATACTATACAGCGTCTTATTATTAGTACGTAATCGGATTAGCTTCCCCTGACAACAACTTTGCCTTCGCAACCGTATGGCTGCTTAAATAATCATAATCATCCCACTTCTGACACCATTTGTGGCGGGGAACTCCCCGGGCCAAACCTTAGTTCGTTGGGGCCAAATCTGACAGCTATAAGTGTAATTGTTATTCCCGAACCCGTTTTGGAGGAAATATACCGCCAATCATGATGATGGTATTTATTCTCTGTTAATTGCACAGTAAACGAGAACGAAATACACATTGACAACAGGATTGTCGGCACAACAAATATGATTGTACTTTAAAGAAAACAATGATCAAGAAATATATATTAATAATTGGGACTTAATGGGGCTGTTTTATCAGCAGAGTCACTTAATTACAGCATCAACAATGTACAACAATATAAGCAGTGCGCTATTACGTCAGTAACAATTTTAAAAAATGTAAGTGTAACCTGGAAAATGACACACTATGGGGAACTCGCACTAAAACTACTACGACTATACTAAACTCGGGATCTTTGAAGGGAAAAGGCGCGAGGAGATTGAATGAATAGAGACAAGGGACACAAATTCTAGATTTTGAACAAAAAAAGACAAAAACAATTTATTTACAAGAACTTTAAAAATGACCAGATAATTATAAAACCAAGACCACGAAGATTAAAAACCAAACTTAAACCTAAAAACCAAATACTCAAACCTAAAAAAAAACACCTTAAACCAAAGACTTAAAACCAAGTTAAAAACCAAAGTATTTAACCAACACAGTGTGTATAATAAGTAGACCTTAAAGACACTTCTGGCAGAAATCTATTAACAAGATAAGAGAGTAAAGAATATAATAAGAAACAGGTAAACAATGCAAACAAACTCAAGCTACATTAGGTCTAAAGTAATATAAACAATGCACTGTGGACCTTCTATACAGTCTTGCCAAGAACACCAAAATCTCTTGTAAACTTGCAAAGGTCCAAAGCAGATAAGAATAACTAAATGCAACAGGTGGCTAAATACAAAATAAAGGAAATGCAGGTCTACAGTAAACGAACAGCTTGGACAAGTATAACTAACTAATTTACATGGCAAACTAATCAGTAAGAAGTCGGTGGGAAAACCACTCCTCTTGGTTTAAACATGTACAATAAATCAATAAAGGTAATGAAGAAAACACCATCCAAAATACTGAAATCAGATGTCAAAAGAAAAAGTATCAAATCAACAATTAACCTAATAATCAAAAGGCAATGCAATGCGTTTATCCAAGTCATTTTTCGGAAATTAAGTCTTAGTCAATGAAATAAATCAAACTTCTGACAACACAGTTTTTTTCAAAAATAACAGAACTCTAACATGTCTAACGATCCTGATCAATCAAATCAAACAATACAAGTTAACTTTCCTCAAGCAATTTCAAAACAAACCCTATCTCAAAACTTCAAGTGATAACTCCTACAAGGCTGTTCAAAAATTATATAAAACTTGATTGTCAAACTCTGAACAATACCAAAACAGATCAAAACTTCTAAAACTTAATACACTTAATGAGAAAATACAAAGAAAAACATATATCAAAACTCACCAATAACTCGAGCAGATAAACACTCACATAAGGCAAGGCGCACCCAAGAAAATCAAGGGGAAAAGAGAGGAAATAATAATGCTCGGTCCTCTCTCTACTGCCACTGGTCTGCTACTGACCATGAGGGGTCAGTGGTCTTACAGGGTGGCAGGGCACATGGTCTTGGGACAGGGGGAACCAATGGCACGGGAACAATTTACATACAATGTGGACTGTTACTGGGGAAAGCTAATCAGGGGGAAACACTACTATGAAAGGGTGGGGGACATCTAATGAAAAAGGGGTGATTTATTCAGGGGGTCTACTCCTATACTAAAGCACTACAAAAATACATTGAAAAACTACAAGTAAAACTTGGCTCTGCCACATAAGCAATGCACAACACGGTATACACAATGTAAGTAATGCACACTAATTGTAAACAACGCACGCCAATGTAAGTAATGTACACCGCGCAAGAATACAACCCGTTCAGCTTCGTGCTGACCAAACTTCACCCATGTAAGCCAGCGTCACTCGTACGGCTGCGTCAGAATATTCGTACAACGCGACTCAAGCACAGTGACGGCCTGTATCCAGTCGCATGCGTCAACGTTACCCAAAACACAGTGCACAATCAATACACTTCCTCACTGCACGCCGTCCACAACTTCACTAATAAAGAGCGTCACGATCACGTGCAACCTCCCAACCACACATGCATGTACTAACCTACGGGAATTTGGGAACCAATCATGTACATGCATTCAGTCGCTGAGCGGTAAGCCACGCCCAGTCACCCCCGCACAGTCACCCCCGCACAATCACTGTTTTAGCACTAGACTAGCTAAAACTCACTTCACTTTCCGCCACAATATGTAATTCTCAATCCAACTTTCATGACACATCAGTTTTGTGCTAAGCTGTACGCCAATTAGATGAAAATAACTTTGATGTTGGCCTTAGTTTATGCAGCTTGAAATTTGCAATGTACATGCAACTATTTATTTTGGCATTGCAATTATTTTAAAAGCTCAGCGGTCCAGCAAAAAAGCTAAATAATTTTGTTTGAACTAAACCGGTTGTAAACTTTGATTAAATTTATCATGG